ACGAATATCTTATCCTTGATTAACGCGTACATTATTTTTCAAAATATTTTTCAATCATTTAAATTTTGTTCGACAATTAAAAATATATTTGAATAAATACAATTGAAGAAAAAGAGAAATAATTTGAAATGATTTCTTCCGATTTTAACAGATCCATCCCTGAGGAGATTAAATTACTACGATCTATTAAATTGATAAATTGTTTACACTCTGATATCGTAATATGTAATTTGCAATGACAAGTTACTTACAATATACGCGAATACGTACTTTCTTCCGGTTTTACAACTAAATATCACGACGTTTTCCGAAACGCTGACGAAAACAAATGTCCGTCCGTTGAGGCTCGATTGCAGCACGATCGAGTTTTATACATATATACGTATATATATATATTCCTTTTCTGAATTCTCCGGTAGACAAAGAATGAATTTAGAGCACAAAAGAGAGAAAGAGAGAGAGAGAGAGAGTGTGAGAGGGAGAGAGAGAAAGAGAGAGAGAGAGAAAGCTATATACACTCGTACACGGAGGAAAAAAAAACACACGCGGAGACAACGCAGTGTTCAATATTTTCGGAGTCACCCTGTAGATCGAAATCTCGCATATAGTACTAACAGATTGTATAACACTTAACTAAGCTTTCCGTATAACGATACGAGAGACATACGAATTGTTATGTTTTCTACAGTAACGTTTGTACTACCGACTTACAACAATATTTGTATAATATACGATACAAGAGAGAAACGTACCTATACAACATAGGTGTTACCCAGATGCAATAACTTTTTTAAACGGTGTTACCGGGATATTTTTCATACTTGTAACGACTCGTTGCGGCGTCCGCGCAACGTCCGTCCGTTTCGACGCGACGCGGCCGGTACCGCGGCAACCACTACTCGTTTCGTTTTGTGCCAACCAGATCTTAGATTTTGCTTTTCCAGGATTTAATAACGTGCTGTTAAAGCAGCGACAACACAGTGTAATCCGATTTTTAAAGAACCGATGCCCACATGCCATTCCACCTTAGCACATCTCGACACCAAGCACCCACGCCCATTCGCTTAATTATCGAATATTGAAGGGAAATAGGGAGAGAGCGAGAGAGAGAGAGAGAAAGAACGAGTATGCGTGTGCGTGTGAGATAGAAAAAGAGAGGAATTTGAAAGACAGGGAGAAATGTATGCGGTGTACGCACGTAGTTTGTCGATGAAGGGAGAAAAAAAAAAGAGCGGAAGAGTTGTTCTTGAAACGAACGAGAGACGGAATTTGGCGAGAAAATGTTTGTTTGCGATCGGGACTCTTGAAACTATCTCGCGGCGTTAGTAATTCGATTATCGGACTTTGCGAGAGCGGATGCAGGAGGAGAGAGCTATAAACGGAACGCAAACGCCAATGGTGCCGTTACGATCTCCCCGCGATGCATTCGGTAACGCGCGCTCGATACTCCGAGATGCACCGAGAGTCATCGCGGGATATTAAGAGCAATACAACTCGCGTTTTTTTACACATAGCTCAAAATAGAAATAGTAAACTTGAGAATCCCCGTGCTTATATACGTAATCGACAACAGCGTTAACAATTCCCGCTTATACGTTCGAAGATTTCTAATTTAATCGAAAATTCGCAAATGTTCCATTTTTTCACCAAAACGACGCAATTAGACTTTAATGCCTCGACCGTTTGTTTCGAGATTCTCTTGGTCGCACTCTAGAGATCACGAAGTTCTATAACGATCAATTGTGTTTCGCAAAAGTAAAAGATCTCGGAGAAAAAGCGAGTGGAAAACGATATTTTTAAAATAAAAATGCAATCGCGTAAAACGTTTGAAAACTACATGGCATGTTGTTATAATCACGCAACAAATCATGCACGCAATTTTATTCCGATTTATTAATTCATTTTTTCATTTGAATATAAATTATATCCATATAATTGTGCGTATTTACTTTGGTATGTCATTTTATTCAAAAATGCATAAGAAAAGGAATAGATACATAATTTCAAGAAATTGCAAATTAAATCTTTTCTTTTTCATATCATCACATTAATTAAAAAATTAATATCACCACATTAATTAAAAATATTAAATTGCTTTTACACGTGTAAAAGTAAAATTCTAATCTTTTCTTTCCCAGCGAAAAGGTATTCTTATTAAAATCTCTCGTACGATTTTCTTCAATTATCCATGCCGAAATATTTCATTTTATTGAACTGCACTTCTCTACTTTTCAAACACCTTGTATGTGTATGATATCGCGTGATACTCGGAACTCCCGAGTGCGACCTTGCTGATCTTAGATATTATGGGCTGCGATAGGACACGTATGTGAGTTATCGAAGCGCGATCTTCGCTGCGGTGGAATAAAAAAAGAAACCACCGACTGACAGACCGGCTAACCGATGGATCTCATTTTTGGATATCCTGGTTTATTTCCACGGACCGTTCGCGATATCAGAGTGATTGATGTCTTAACTTGCTACGTGATTGAGAACGCTCGGGTCAGAGTCTTTCCACGAATCGCGATTCTTTTGGCAGAATAATATCGCAGTAATTTAAATTGTTGCGTTTGACAAAATATAAAAGAAAGATTCAAAGTCAGAACGTGATGCATAATTTATAAGATTCACTTTAATTAAAACTTTACGACTTAACGTAACGAAAATTTGTATCGATTACCTCGTCTCTCTTGCGGCGATTAAAAAAGTAAAGTATTTTATTTTTCAAAAAGTTTATCTCCAATATACTTGTTTCAATACGCTTTATCCCCCCCCAAAATATTATATATTTAAAAAAATCGTAGACAGACTCTAATCTCGGTGCGTTTGCCGTCATCGACTCGTCAATGAAAAAATGAAAGAGAAATATATCAAAGATCATCATGTCTCCGAGTCATTGTAATCGAGCGTCATATTCAAGTCGCGATGCGTTCACTGGAACAACGAGACGTGTAAGATGGATGCGACCGATTGCAAAATGACAACCGAGCGAATAATTTGAGAGCACATCCGTCCATCTGATACGTTTCGATCTACGCGTGTGTTTCAGATCGTTGTTGGATGGTCTAGTTTCTAGTTAAAAGATTTTTTTAAATCCGGGATTTTTTAATACAATGAAATTGTGCGTGAAACGAAAGCAAAGCTCTGAGATCGCATTCGATTCGATCGCGACCGTGCGCGAGTGCGTCCTGAATTTATGAGCTGAGTCTCGATTCAATAGACCGATTCAGAGAACGTTTATATACGCGCGAACGTTTGTGTACACGTATACATTTCAGCTGTATCGAGAATCGTTTCGACAAAATCGGCAAAATTCGATATCTCGGAGAGAAGTTGAACGAAGAAAAGCTCACACTCTTGTCCGTAAAAAAAAAAAAAAAAAAAAAAAAAACTCCACCAACATCGATAACGCGTTCTGAACATTCCGGAATCACCCTGCGGAATAGCCACAACTGATTTGGCTTGGCGTAAAAAAAGAAAAAAGTAAAAAAAGAATAAAAACTGATTTGTTTCGGTTCTTAGACGAACGAATGCATATCATAGTTGTAAATTAACAATTTGTGAAATAAAAGCTGCAAACTGTTTGTGTTAACAATACGTCTGCGTACAATGCGTATAACGTATGCATCCTTACGCCTATCTTTACACGTATACCCGACAATTCCCGATCGTATATCCAATCTCGCGTGAAACCCAGAGCGACATTATGCCGTAGGGATTGTTTATCGCTATCGCAAGCCGCGTCCGCGCGCTACAAAGGGTAAGTGCATACTTCATAATCTTCTATTCGAGCGTGAAACAATTCCCGAGATACCTGCTGCGGCGCGCCATCGCGCTGCATTCGAAGAGACGAATGAGGCGTTTACGAAAAACCGGAAAAAAATCTTGCTCGACAGAATTTATCAAATTACGAACGACTTCTCGAAATCTAGAATCTCTCCAATTATTGGAGTCATGTCAAGCATAATTTGGATAAATATTAAGAAAAACAATAAACGGTCCAAATGATAAAGATACGAAATAAAAATTGAAGGGCTACGAGACCGTGGCGCAAGGTGTTAGAGCGTAAAAAATAAAAAACTCTAAGAGGCATAATATATTAATAATCAGTTAGATATAAAATACAATGTATTGTATTTTATATCTAACTGATTATTAATATAGTACCTTACTTAGAGTCTTTTTTATCAAAAAATAATATTTAAAATATATTTAAAATATTTAAAAAATAAAAAACTTTAAGTAAGAGGCATAATATATTAATAATCAGTTAGATATAAAATACAATACATTGTATTTTATATCCAACTGATTATTAATACAGTACCTTACTTAGAGTCTTTTTTATTAAAAAATAATATTTAAAATATATTTAAAATATTTAAAAAATAAAAAACTATAAGTAAGAGGCATAATATATTAATAATCAGTTAGATATAAAATACAATGTATTGTATTTTAGAGGTATAATATATTAATAATGTAAGAGGCATAATATATTAATAATCAGATAGATATAAAATACAATACATTGTATTTTATATCTAACTGATTATTAATATATTATGCCTCTTACTTAGAGTCTTTTATTTTTTAAATATTTTAAATATATTTTAAATATATTTATATTAATAATCAGTTAGATATAAAAGTTTTTTAGTTTTTAAGAGTTTTTTATTTTTTAAACATTTTAAATATTTTAAATATATTTATATTAATACATTGTATTTTATATCTAATTGATTATTAATATATTATGCCTCTTACTTAGAGTTTTTTATTTCATATTTTTATCATTTGGACCGTTTATTGTTTTTCTTTATATTTATCCAAATTATGCTTGACTTTTTATTTCGTATAATTTAGATAATTTGCTTAATCCCTTTGCGATTGATTCAAGCTGATTGGAGAATTAATCAAAGTGCTTATGAATTATTCCAACATCGAAATGTCAAGATTCTAATAAATACGCACGAGATAATCGATGGTCCCTGTTGCAGGTCTCGCTCGCCCTCGGCCTGGAAGCGGGCGGATGGGGTGCGCTCGTGGAGCGGACGAGCGGTGGCAGCGGCGGCAGCATCCTCGGCGGCTTCACCGGCCTAGCTGGACTGGCGCGTCGCTGCGGCGTCTGCCTGGCGACGTTCCCGTCGCCGTGGCTGCTGGAGCGTCACGCGTTGCTGCAACACGCCGGCCAGACCAGCGACGACAAGCCGTTCACGTGCGAGCAGTGCGGCCAGCGTTACCGCTACCGGTCCGCCTACGTGAAGCACCGCGAGCAGAATCATCGCGCGCGGCTACCGGCCGACAAGCTGTTTACCTGCGACGTGTGCGGCATGCAGTTCAGGTATCTAAAATCGTTTAAGAAGCACCGTCTCAATCACGCGCTCGAGCGGCTGCAGCGCGCGCCCGAGTCGCAGAGCACCGTCATGGTGGTCTCGGCGCAGGCCGAGCGCAGCGATCAGGTCTCGAGCACCGGCGAGCCGTCCCAAGTGGAGACCGGCAGCGACACGAATCCAGGCGACGTCGAGGAGATGCGCGGCGTGTTCTCCGAGAGCGTCCGCGGGGACGAGACGAGCGTCTCGGAGACCGCGAGCGTCCAGGAGAATCCCGGCGACGCGGTGGAGGTGCAGATAACGGAGACCCCCGCCGTCATCAGCGTCGGGACCGGCGGAAGTGGTAGCGCCGGCGGGGGCGGGGGCGGCGGGGGCGGTGGCACCGGTGGCACCAGCAACGAGGTCGGCGACGTCGACGACAATGCCATCGATGACGATCGGTCGCACGAGCCAAGCGAGGCGATCATCAGCCTCGCTCGCGGTGGCACCCGCGAGGCCGATCGGCGCGAGCGTCGCTTCGCCTGCCCGTTCTGCGGCAAATGCGTCAGATCCAAGGAGAACCTCAAGCTACACGTGCGCAAGCACACCGGCGAACGGCCGTTCGTCTGCCTGTTCTGCGGCCGTGCCTTCGGCGGCAAGAGCGACCTGACGAGGCACCTGCGCATCCACACCGGCGAACGGCCGTATCACTGCGAGATGTGCGGCAAATGCTTCGCCCGGGCCGACTATCTCTCCAAGCACCTCACCACGCACATCCATCAGCGCTAACGCGATCGCAGCTCGGCTTACTAACCATCTCGGTGTCCTCGAAGCCGAGCAGCGAGCCATGTTCCTCTTCCTCTCCCGGGCGACTCTCGAGGGTTAACGTCGTGGAAAATTACACACGAAAATATGATGCCGCGTTAAAACGAAGAACGTAAGCGAAATTGAACGACGTTTACCGTCCGCTCAATTGCGAAGTATATCGAGCGACAGGCGGGTAAGAAGTATATCTAGTCAATTTACGCGCTCAACCGTAACTTTTCTCTAATAATGGTACTTGAAAGATAGGAACTCGTGTCGTCTACTTGTCCGACTAACGAGAGCTACTACAAAATGGTAGCGGCGATAATCCTCGGTGACGTTTAACCAACAGAGACGCTTCGATAACGCACATTAAAATTCAAATCTTGGAGTATCTGATTGTCCATCACTGCAAAATTATCCCTCGAGTCTCAGTCCGTTCGCGAAGAATAATGGAGCGTCGAATTAAAGGACTCCTACTGAGAGGAAATAGAGGCAAACGAGAGAGAAAGAAATACGGTCCATCCATCTTAGCCACCGGCCCAACAAGACGCGTCAATTACGGAAAGAATAGAGATAATGTGTAAAACAATCGCGATTAAGCGCGATCCCTCATCGCCTACGATCCACCAGCGGCACGTCTGACGATGATTTCTGGAATATACGACAGTGAGACTAACTTGTGATAAGGGATATGAGAAATCCAAAGGGAGAAAAAGAAAAAAAAAAACCAAAGAACGCAACGACGCGGCGGGCGAAAGCCGACGGTCAAAGGCTTCCTTTTGTTGTCTTTTTCGTCTTCGTGCTCTCCATCGACAAAGTGATATATTTGTAATGTAATAGCTTAACCTCGATATACTCGGTGTGTACTCCGATATGTAATATAATTCGCGATGATAATGCCGCGTGGGCGATAACGATAATTTTTCTCTACGCGAGCTCCGTGCAAACGCGAACACGTCGACGGACACCTTTTTTTCACTTTTACACGGATGATATTCTATTCCGTATAATTAGCCGAGAGATTCAACTAATAATGAATTCACTTTTCTCGAGGACTCACGGATTAATTTCGAAGGAATCGGGAAAAGAAAATATTGAATTAAATTTTTATTTAGAATTCTCTAAATTAAATTTCTTTAATTAAATATTCTCAGCTCTCTTTCTCGTCGAGATTAATTTTCTCGAGTTGTTAAAAGAGTGGGTTGAAACCTTCCAGGACTTCTTAACTCGAGGAACACCCCTTTCACCGCAAAAAATATACTTTCGACAATTGGCGTACACGCGTGCACGGCATGTTCGTGTCTATGGAAACCGAGACGAGTTATTAAAGTCCCGCAATACCTACTCCAGACATCTTTGATTATGTTGTCAGAAGCAAAGTGAGGCACGCAAACGACTTTTCGTGATGAACTTTTTAAAAGCTAGGCAGTTTCTGGCCTATTTTATTAATCTACTTTTTGTCGCGAGCAAACATGAGAAAGGAATAAAATAAAAAAGGAATAATTCTCGTTCGAATCATATCGCGATAAAAGAACTGAAGGTTTAAAGTATCGATATGCGATATCGGGAGATGTCCTAAGCTTCGATATTAAGGAAATTATTATTTTTTTTTTTCAAAAAATAAGTTATTTATTAAGATTATTAAAATACACACACATAGATGTGCAATTATATACTCATTATTGATTTCGAGAAGTGAATAGAATCTTTAAAAATTAAAAATAAAAAAATAAAAAATTTTCTCTTAAAAACGGGATACATTTTTTGTTTTGACAATTTTTGTTTCTCCATGGGGAGAATCCATGGAGGATTAAATTATTTGTTGAGCAGCTGTTTCCGCGATCATCATCCGTGTAAAACGACGTGTTCGACGTTGGCACCGATCGGGAGGGCAAACCTCCCGGAAAGCGTTGCCGGTGCCTTTGAATTCTCGAATGAACGAATGAATAATCCTTTCCTTGATGATGCGGATAGCAATAATATACGATATCTATATATCTTTCGTTTCTCCCGCGTCAGAGACACCAGCGCGATTTAGGTTTGTCGTCGGGAGCCGCGAAGTAGCGTCTTGTTGCACGGTCTACATTCGGTCCTTCCAAAAGTCCTCTCCACTTGCAGTCGCTATCCACTCTCCTAGATATTGATATATGTGTATATACGCGATATATACCTACGTACATATACAATAACGACACGCTGTCCAGTCATGCGCGAGCGCAGAACGAGAGTGGCCGGCTCATTCTCTTGGGATCGGTCTCGTAAGTAGCTTTAACTTTCGACCACTTCATAAATCAAGTCCGATTGTGCGATCTCATTACGAGAGGTATAAGAAGAGAGAGAGAGAGAAAGAGAGAGAGAGATAGATAGATAGAAACGATGAGAGGCGTTTCTTAGAGAAACTTGAGCAAACTCGAAGGATCGTTTACGAGGCCGGATCCCTCCACTTGGTCAGAACACTTACTTAGCCCTTAAGTGATATACCTATAGTGTACTTGCTACTCTGTGTACTCTCGCGCACTCTCGAAAGTACGCGAAACGAAGTTGAATAACGAAGGTGCTATCTAACGAATAGGGTTGATCGCTAGATGCCGGCCGGCCGGTACCTCGAGAGACGAAAAACGTGAAGACGAAACACGGCGAGGAGAAAAGAGTCGACAAAAAGCTCTACATTGCCAGCTAATATCTACCGTGCCAAAAGAAGGAACTGTTTCGCGAAGAGAGAGAAATAGATCGAGAGAGAGAGAGAGAGAGAGAAAGTGAGAAGGAAAGAGAGAGAGACAGAGAGAAGAGAATCTATTCCGTCGGGCGAAAATTCAATTTCCCTCCAAGACCGGCCCGGTGCTGCGATAGGCCAATTTAGTCCGTAATTACCGTATTATTATACCGTCTCTTAATAAGGATGTAATTTAATGATTAAATAATATGTCGATATTCTCGTCCGTGGTCGGTGGTGCGACCATCGCGTCGAGATTTTATTAAGAGAAACGTGTCCAACGAATGTCAACGAGAAATTGCGGCGGGACAACTCGCTCGCATTCGCATCGTTTTAATTTCCCACTTTCTTGGTCGATTCACCATATATATATATAATATACATATATATTACGTACATACATACATACATACTCGTCCGCCCTAATAAGCCGGACATATATATGTGGTCCTCGCACGTTCGAGCTCGAGGAGCGTGGATTAGAAGATTAAAGAAAACAGTTCCATGACGCCTGACGCCCCGATCGTTAGTCCAATTGTCCAATGTCCGCCCACTAGCGTTCCATTTCCACTGCCCACGTCGGATTCGCCGTGAGCTAACCGAGGAAAACCGCAAATCGCTTCGCCGTAAATCGGACATTTTTTTTGTTTTAACTCTAAAGTCGAATCTTATATCGAGAGCTTTTTCGAAGCAACAAAATGTGATACATCGATATTATTTGTATCGTTATGTTTATTCGACTCTGAGAGAGAGAAGCTGATCCTACTAATTTTCTTTTCGATGATTAATAATAATTATAATTGATAGACGTGTTTAAAAAATATTTTTACAGTAATTTTAACTTGAATAATATTACAAATTAAAAACGTTTTGAAAAAGTTTTTGCATTGCGTAGAAGGCTGAGCATTATTGAGATATTATTTTTTAAACACACATTTTAATATGACATGTTTTATGTATTATTTTACTTTTAATACTCTAGAATGAGATTTGACGCGCGATGTTCGAATTGTAAATTTTTCAGATTTGAAGATCCATGATTTCACAATCAATGAGCCCTTTGATCCTTGGAGCTTTGCAATCTCGAGAATCTTGGGTGCTTTCGCGATGCGATTTCATCAGAGAAGATTGAGAATTTGTAATTGTATCGCGAAGAATCGCGTAATTTCCGTTGCTTACGACCCGAATCGCGACAGACTAGCGACGATAGCGACAGTGCCAAACGATAATTCCGTAGCAAAGTAGAGAATAGCGAGGCGAGAAAACGCAGTCGTATCCTGCGTTGCAGGATGCAATTTCGGAAACGTTCGCCGCTTTCCGAATTCGGTTGTCCGTTCGTAGCGGAAGATGGGAACGAATGAAAGTACGTCCCGAATTAAACCACCACCGGAAGCACCATCGGACATAGTGTTGTTTGCGTTCGAGCGTAATAACGCTAAATAGTAATAGTACGCGGACAATTTAATCTCGTTTACAACGGAACGTTACAACGGAATTCGTTGTTACTCCTAGTTACCGTATTAATTGTATTTTGTAGACGATAGCGCGACTCTCTTCGGATGGGCTAACCGTCGCTTTGTCGAATTAACTGACACTGGAAGAGAGAGGAAGCGTATTCTCGAGACAGGTCGATATTAGAACCGCCGCGATTCTTTCCCCTCGTTCTTGATAAATCATCGGGAATGTGTATATATTCTTTTAAGGATACACACGATCGCGTAAATACGAAGGTACCTTAAAGTAACGATTATACAATGTGATATTTTAGCAATGTGTGCCAGTCATTTAGTATTGTAATACAGGATAATTATAATATTGTACCAGAGACTACTAGTCACTTTTCTCACAATTAATTGGAGTCCGGGACTGAGTAATTGCATTGTGATAAGGCCGATTAAAATTTTTTATCGCTTATATATGTACACGGATCATAAATGCGAGCGCGGAAGAATATTTTCTACAATACGTAATTACAATTTGAATCCTGTATGTGATAAAACCGCAACCGTTTCGTTACCATCGAAAAATTCTCCAATTCGCGTGATATAACCGTATTTATTTTCAGCTACGAATCGCTTCGAGATAGTTTAACGTGCCGGAATGGTGTTCTGTACTATATGCCACAATGCCATTTGTCATGAGGCATATTGATTATTTAATCTAATCCATCACGTATAATATTGCAAATTGCAATATTACTAAATCCAAGATTCTCCAAGTCAAGTTATATATACCAACATATTATTTTATCGATAGTATATTTGAAAAAAAGTCAACGAAAATATCGGTGAAATTAACATCGCAAAATTCTCTCGACACACGTGATATAATAATTTTTTTTTAATTTTTAATCAGTTTATATATACTCAAATAATTAAAGAGATTAAGGACGATATTTATAAATATCGATTATGCAAAAATTACATCGGTTTGCCGCTATATTTGTAAACCCTATCGACAAATGTCATAAACGCGCAGAATAGAACATCGCGGCTAGTTTCGAGCTAGAATCGATAGAGAACACGCCGAAGATCGGGCAAATCGACACGGACGGAGGATATATACGTATATACATCGCGGATATCGAGTCTCGTGCGGACTCGTTTGCAGTCTCGCTCCAACTTACATCGAATTCCGGGAATCAATTAATCGCGACGCGCGCGGCGTGTGCGCGACTCGCCGCATCGCACGTTACCTCGCGTGATAGCCAGTCGTCTTTCAATCGAACTCCGGTAAAACGTGTAGCGAGCTACCTATCTACCTACCGAATATGTGTATGGCGGGATAATATATTTATCGCCGCGCCCCAGGCGTGTGCGAGACGATCGCGGATAGTTTTTGACTCGCATCGCTACGGTTTGTACTTTCAGGCTGGCGATATCGCGATGTCAGGACGTACGAATGTCTACGGGACGCTTCGAGAGTTCCGGGTTAATCCTGGGAATATGCCAGACCTTCTCTCCATTTCGCGCGTCCATTAATAAAAATAAAAAGGAGCTACTTTATACACGTGCATGAATTATTCCAAAAGCACACTAGATAGCTTTCATTACAGACGTTTTGGAATCGATTTATGTTATTATAATCGTGCATATATATTTATATTTTTTTCTCTTTTCCCTCTCTCCTTAAAATATATATTTTTATGAGAAATAAAAATTACAGAATTATATCTCTTAGTGAAGACAATTTTAATATTAAAAAAGAATTCGTAAAAATAAAATTCTTAATGTTGATATTTCAAGGGTTAATTCAACCCATATTTTACAGAGCATTCAGTGATAGTAATGCCAATTACGGTACCGCAATTGCAATGTGATGCGGAAATTTCAAATCTTGCGGCTCGATCGCAATTTTTTGATTTAGCCTTCGATGCGTTTCTAAAAAATTGGTCGGATAAATTAAATTAGTATAATTTCGTTATCATATAAAGCACAGACCAGCAAACTTTTGTTTTTCGCGATTATCCTTTGATGTTCGATCGTATAAATCGAGGATTGCGACACTCGATTTTTCTAGTTCGATATAAAAGTATGGGAGATATTAATTCAAGATTTCAAGAATATAATATTCAATTTTTTTCGACGCTGTAGACACGAAAAATTGCATCCTGCTTATTGTCATATAAAAGCCACATTTTCAGATTTATACATGTCATCGATATTGAATAACTCATTGAGATAATATCAATTTCGATTGTTTTCATTAAGTATAACTTTTTCAAAAATCTCTTAAAAACTTAATTTTTGAAAAAAATGGGGAAAATTAAATTAAAAAATATAGATTAAATCCTCGTTCTGAATTCCTCGATCATCGAAAACGTCGCGGGGTCGGACGATCGGATCGCCCGATATATCGCACACAAACGATATTTTGTAT